AAAATTTTAACAGTATTTTTAAGGTTATCTTGTGTGTTCGATCTCTTTCTCTGTTTCTGTGAGAGTTTTGGGTTTTTGAATGTTCTGTGGCTAGTCAGAAAGAAATGGCAAGGAAGTTGGATAAGTATGCGATTTGTGACAATGATCATTCAGAATCTGAAAGAAGTGGTCTGCTTTCAAGATCACAGGTAACTCATGGAGAGCATCCTTTAAGCCTTGGAGAAAGCAGCATATGGAATCAATTCTTTTAGGTATATTATTAGGCTTATTTGAAAATCAGTTATTGGAACTGTATTGCATCTGTGGTGTTTTCTTTTATGTTAAGGATAGAAGAAAGAAAGAAGGATAACAACTATATGGACAGAAGTGAAAAAACATTGAAGGGGTATTACACTTTGATGTAAAATCTACTGAAATATAATTACAAGATTGAATAGTTTCTTGCACAATTGTGATGTTGTTAGCATTAAAATATCTATCCCATATATTATCTTTAGCTTTAATTTACTAAAAATAATCATATGTTTTATAATGTGTTATCTGATTATCTATGTTATTATTAGATCATGATATTTGGTATTTATAATTGTCAGTGTTATATAGCATTATAGTAAGAAATCCAAGAAGTTGGACGAGAGGAAAACAATTCATGCTACACATACTAGTTTTTGGTCAATACTTAGTTGAGAGAACATGAACTGAGCATTACTAGTTTACAACTGTATTTGTATACCAGTTTATACATGAAAGTAGTGACGGAGAGTTCTGATTTTTCAATTATTAATTGAATATGTCATTTATTTTATTCTCTAGTCCTTAAAGTTTTCCTGATTTAGCAAGCATTTAGGAAGAGGTTTTTTTCCCATTTGTTTGCTTAGTTTTCTTGCGATGTTAGTCATGTTGTTGATGAGCTGATTTTTTTTGAAATGTCCTCCTTTTAAGTTCTAGATAAAGATTAAGTGACTTTTTTTTGGGGCTGGTGGTATTTCAAGGACTCAGAAATTATAGAACAGATTGACCGAGATTTGAAACGCATTCATCCAGACATGAACTTCTTTTCCGGAAACTCGCAGCTTGCAAAGTCTAACCGGGTATGCATTTTCTTTCTTGTGATTTTGTTGTTTAACCTTTTGGACTTAAGTTTTGATATGAGAAACAAAGCCATTTCTGACTTATACCTTGCTCATTCAGGATGCATTGAAGGACATATTAATTGTATTTGCCAAGTTAATTCCATGTATAAGATATGTTCAAGGGATGAATGAAATCTTGGCACATCTATTTTATGTATTCAGAAATGATCCCGATGAAGAAATGGTGGTAAAGATCTCATTGTCTTTCCTATCTAGTCTGTATTATTTGTTTTAATGTTTTTCTTTAAGCAAAACTTGTTGGTGCAACCAAAAAAGTGTTTTCTTCTTCCGGAACCTTCCACTTTTTTCAGCTTTGAGATTTACATTTTGTTTATCGTTTGGTGTTCTTGTCAAACTTGTCTTTGCCCATTTCTATCTGCAACACTATTGCCACCAACTCCCACTTTTTTCTTGTCTCAAGCAACATGATGAAGAAAATTTTCATTTACTTAGTTGACACTTGCTTAAACTCTTTATTCTTCTTGAAACACCTATACTTAACGCATATAGAGACATGGGTTTGAACTTAGGAGATATCACCCTACAAAGTGTATCCAAATACTACTTGATTTTTTTTAAAATTTAACACACCCATTTCAGATACATATTCGCATGTGACATGACATCATATTTGAGTCTTGAGTAACAAATTGATGCATACAAGCCAAAAAATTTTATATGCTCCAAAACTGATGCATACATTTCCGTATTGAACTCTTGCAGGCTGCTGCTGAAGCTGACTCATTATTTTGTTTTGTTGAGTGGATTCCGTGATCATTTCTGCAAGCAACTTGACAACAACAATGTTGGAATTCGTGCCACAATTACCCGATTGTCACAATTTTTGAAAGGAACATGATGAAGAGTTTTGGTGTCATCTAGAGATCACAACTAAAGTAAAATATCATTGGAAAATCCAAACATCTTGTTGTATTGTTTAGATTTTATCTTTTCATACATTTCTTGTCATCTTCTGTATCTGGGTCATGCTTACCTATTACAAAAACCCCACCTAGGGGGACAATTAAGTCAATTTGAACTGTAAAAGCTCTAGAGCTCTACTTGAAACTCCAGACCTCGAAGTTTGGCTTGAGCTTAATAAAGTTTCACGTTTAAAGCTTGATTCAAAATAAAAATTGATTTGCTCAAATTTGTTCAATTAATCTTGTTTATCTAGTAAAAGATAAGTTTAATCCGATGCTTTGACTTCAAACTCGGTTATTTATACTTAAGCTCGAGTTAGAATTTATATTTTTCAATATTCATTAGAATAGTATAATATTGAATTAGAAAAGCTTGGTTAGGCTTGCAAGATATTTGAGTCTAGCATTAGGATACTTGAATTCAACTGGCTCAGTGGCTCGAGCTTTTGATTAGACTATGACTGAGCCATATTATGTTTTTTCTTATAAGCCAAATTTGAATACCTTGTAAGTGCAAGTGTCTCATTTACCCTTGTAAGCCTCGACTTCTCTATAATTCCAGTCCCCTTCCTCCCTTGTCATTTCTTGGCGTGGCAATTATTTCAGTCTAATGTTAACTACTGTGAATAAATATCACAGGTCAACCCCCAATTTTATGCATTTAGGTGGATTACTCTGCTATTGACGCAAGAATTCAATTTTGCGGAAAGCCTTCATATATGGGACACACTTTTAAGTGATCCGGAAGGTCCTCCGATATGATTGCAATTTTAATGCCCCCTCCCCCCATTTGCTCTAACCTTATTAGCATGATAAATGGTTCTAGTCGTGTTTAAAATTTGATCAAATGTTATCTGGCTAATTTCAATCCAAATTGTACCAAATTTTGCTATTGGATTATTCTTTTATCCGTTTATTTGGCGTTGAATTAAAGCTCCATTGATCAAATACGCATTATTACTGAAGCTCCATCGATTAAATATTTGCATTAATTCTTGCAATTTTAATGCCCCCTCCCCCCTTTTGCTCTAACCTTATTTGCAATTTGAATTGAAATCAGCCAGATAATATTTGATCAAATTTCAAACACAACTAGAACCATTTATCATGCTAATAAGGTTAGAGCAAAAGGGGGGAGGGGCATTAAAATTGCAAGAATTAATGCAACTATCATATGGACTTGAAGTAGGATGCTATTCTAAACAAATTAATGCAAGTATTGTTAGCAAGACTGAAAACTGTGAATTCGTGCCGTGATAATGTATATAATATATATGGGAAGTTTTACTATTTAATTGTGTAAAATTTATTTTTACATATGCTTCAAAGAATGCATATGTAAAATTGGTCATTTTAGTACTCTTTGATAGTTATATATATACTTCACTTTAAATAAGTATAAATTATATACTTATTTCATATTTTTTACTTAGGTTGGCGATGAGAAGGAAGAATACACGGATGATGACATTGATGATATTCGCAAAGAATGGGTATCTTATGTGACAAACTTTATTATGCCGTGATATTTTGTATCGACATATGATTAAAATATTTTTGATAACTTAATGTTAATATATTGTATGCAAATGGATTGCTTATATATAATATGATATATATATTTAGTATTATGAAGCATTAAATGTGATTTAGTTTGATTATTTGCCAATCTACAATATATATATATATAATTTGTGAGATACAATCTCGACACACGAATGTGTGTCATCTTTTTTAATGACGTATGCTTCAATAACACGCAATGTAAGTCGTAAATGTAAATCATAAATGCGTGTCATAAATTTATGACACACAAATGTGTGTCATCTTCATTTATGACGGGGGCTTCAATGAAGCGCAATGCGCGTCATAAATGCGTGTCATAAATATCTTTCATAAATGCGCGTTATAGATTTATGACACAATTGCGTGTTATCTGAGATTTATGACGGTGGCTTCAATGACACACACTGCACCTATAGATGACGCACAATGCGCGTCATTAAAAGGATTTTTTCTAGTAGTGGATGAATCACCCATAACCGTCATAACCTCCACTCGAATGAACTAAAACAAAACATTTTAAAGGAGGTCCAAAATCCTCCGAAGTCACACTCGCGCTTATTTCCCTCTTCCTTCAAAATATACCTCAAGAAATTTTAAGCAACAAATGACCTCAGCGTTATCTGTCAAACGCTACCTATGCAAAAATTTTAAATCGAACCACTTTAAGATATTCTCTCGATCATAGAGGAACAATTTGTTATACCTTTAGAGATAACATCTCCGGAGATGCAACCTCATTTCCAAAAATATAACTCCTCTGCCAACCCACTAAGTTAACCTCTGGAAGAACATGATAAATATCAAGATTTCTAACAAGACATTTGATAAAATCTCTAAGAAATTTAAGAGACTTTTCAAGATTAGATCTACTATTGACGATTATATTATACACTTTGTCAGTCTATACATAGTAATTATGATCCTAAATCTTACATAAGTATACCTTACACAAGTATGCAAAGGGAGTCATATATAAGCTCCAATAATAGATAGAAGAGAGATATCTTTCTTTCTATATAATCACTATTATCGATCGACCATTTGACTATCGACAATAATTCTTCGTTTAAATTAAAAGGGGTAAGTCGCGCAAAACCGATCTAACTCGATTATTACCATCAAATACCATTCATAAAATGTTAAACCATCTGGATTAAATTAGTCGGTAACAGTTACATCCATCATCATTCCATGAGTTAGTGTTATGTGTTTTAGTTGTTTTCCCCACATGAGGCTTTTGGGAAGGAGAAATATAGAAATCCATCTTATTATTTCTTGTCGAGTATATTCAGTCTTCGAGCCCTGTGCAGTAACAGTGCTATTTGCAAAAACTCTGAATAGTATATTTTCAATAATACATTTGGAATGAACCAGACAATTGAGCCTTACACAGGATACAACAGCAAATAAAGAGATAAAAATCACAAAGATAATGTTACTTGAAGGTTCTACCGAAGAAAGGAAACCTCATAGGCTTAGAGGGCCAAAAGCACCACTAGCAGAAGGCCAAACCCGAATCTGTTCCTGTTAGCTGGTGATGGAAGTGGACCGCTGGGAGAAGAAGCAGTTTCAGGTGATTCCGCTGCCGTAACATCAGCCGGAGATGGACTGAAAGGAGCTGATTCTGATGTTTTTGCCGGCGAGGGAGACATTTCAGGAACCGGGGACACGGATGGTGCAGCAGAAGGAGAGGTTTCGGGTGATTGAGATGAAGAGCCAGTAGCCAATTCCGGAGCTTTTTCCGGTGAGGGAGAAGCTTTAGGAGGTGGAGACGCCGATAGTGGAGTTGAAGGAGGTGTTGCTAAAGTGTTGATCTCAATTTGCATCCCTTGGCTACAATGTCCAAGTGTTCCACAGATGAAGTACCGTTTCCCAGGAGAAGTAAGAGGCACCACGGTGTTGCCATCGCTATAAGTTTTAAGCGGGTTGCTTGTTTGGCACGAGTCATGGTCTGCCTTTGTAACTTCAAGCACATCATGGTTCGGAGTATACTGGAAAACTGCAGATAATATGTATGTCAAAACACTTTTAAACCACCAGGATTGTAGGTCAGTGCTTGAATCCCAACTTCCAGTAGCACCTCCAACAGTGTAAGTTGCAGCCATGACTAACTGAACCAGCATGGCTATGGCAGCCAAACATACTAACCTCTTCAGCATTGTCATGAAAGGTGGTGTTTGGAATTCAAATCGATTATGGAACATAAATGGGAAAATGATGAATTTCAGATTGGTTTTATATATAGAGAGAGATGGAAGAACAAGAACATGCATTCTTAGTAAGAAGAGGATCATTTGATTAGTTTATTAATAGTTTAAGAGTTGGTGTTTGTTTTATGAACATGAAGACTTGCAAATGACAGCTTGTTTTTTCGAGGATATAAAATTCCTTTTACTTTTTTTTTTGACAAAGTCATAATGTGCAAGTTAAAGCCAACGCCTACTTAAAAGAGAATTTACAATTGAAATTATTTTAGGGTAAACTAAGTATTTAGTCACTCAATTATCACTCTAATTTCATTTTGATCATCCAACTAATTTTTAAATCATCATTAAAATATTACGTTTTGATTTCATTTTGGTCATCCATCGTTAAAAAATTAACAGAACTGCTGATGTGGTACTTTTATTTTTTTCAATGATGATGTGTTATTATTTTATGACAACATGTCAGCATCATTAGTAATTTTCTAACAATGGGTGATCAAAATGTAATATTAGTGATAGTTTTTAAATAAAAAATAGTTTGATGACCAAAATAGAATTACACGAATAATTGAATGACTGAATATATAACTTACCTATTTTTTAATAAAAATACGAAGAATTTTAGTAGTTGCATCTACCTTTGGGTCGTGGATGGAACATTCTATGAAGGGGGGGGGGGGGAATAGTTAAGATAGTGCAGGAGAAAGAATTATTATTATTGCTTCTAACAAATTAATTGCCTTTGCCTTGATAAAATTCACAAGAAAATCAACAGATAAAAGGGCAGCTTCATGGGTTGATGACACATGTGCCGTTTTACTTTTTAAAGTGGAAAAACAATAGCAATAATTCCATCAAAATATGATAAAGAAGTTCCATAAATATAATATTGTTTTTAAAAGAAGAAATGATTATATAATATTACTATTGTTTAGGCACTTGTGGAGTTGCACCGCTCAAGGCTTTATTATCTAATAGAAATTAATAAAGAAATGGATGTCAACCAATACTATTCAAGTATAATATGGAGATCAGTGGATTAAACAAGGAAGCATCTGAAAATAATTAAGAACCTACTTTCCCAAACCAAGCATTCATGCAATTATATCGAAAAGACCAAATTGGGGCCATGAAGTTACATAGTTGTAGACTTGGCATGGTTGATGGATACAATTCAATAAGTTGATGGATTCTTTTGGTTGTCCTTCCGGTGTTTTAAGGTGTTTTAAGGTTTTATTTTGACTAATCTGAATCAACTTGTAAAGTACATCAGATTTTGATAAAAGAATTTCTCAATAAATTTTTTTCATATATAAAGACTCGAACTCGAGATCTTATTTAAGTGATACCAAGATGCAATCCCGATTGATAATAAGTCGATTGAATCAATACTCTTTGGCCAAATTTTAATTTTGTAAAAAAATCGACTGTTGATATTTTTTTCTGAACATTGAGTGTTGATATTAAATATAAATATTAATATTTTTATATTAGTATCGATATTTATGTGTGTTCAAACTTTAGACTCATAAAATAGAATATCAAATCAATATTAATATTATCCCTTCAGTATTAATACTGTCTAACGAATAACAATACTGCAATACCTCAAAAACTTTATAATTAGAATTCTTACTATCCTAATATTTTTTATATTATTTTAATATCAAAACCAAGTTCATTATTAATATAGACTACACTATTTCACAAATTGAGGTATAATGCCTTAATTTTAGTGAAGAAATGCCAAATTTAATATTTGGATTGAATTGTTAAAATTTTAAAGTACGAGGGATAAAATATCAATTTTGTTAAAGAAAACTAAATTAATGAATATTATGATTCATATATAGTTAATAACCATGATTCACGTTAGTTTTGGATTTAAATCAGCCATATTAAAAACAAGAAGTTCAAAGATTAAAGTATAATTTTATTAAAAGAGAAACTAAATAAGCCTTGAAGGTAACATTTGAACTCATTAAGTAACTTAAAAAAAGGATAAATTACATATTTAGTATTTAAATTATTAATTTTGATATGTTTTAGTACCTAAATTTTTAATTGTTTTCAAAATTATATCTAACATTTAGTTTTTGTTTCATTTTAGTACACCGCGTTAAAAGCTTAACTCGTTTAATACCCAAACTATCAGTTTTGGTCCGTTTTGCTACCTAAACTTTCAATTTTTTTCAAAACTTAATGTTAAATTTCAAACATGTACTAAAATGAAACAAAACATAAACTTTAGGTATAATTTTGAAAAAAAATGAAAGTTTAAGTATAAAAATATACCAAAACTGATAATTTAAGTACTAAACACAAAATTTACCCTAAAAAATATTATTCCGAAGGATATACCCCTCAAAAAAGTTTAAATTCCCTTTTAAGTTCCCCAATTTAAGTTTTTTTTTTCTATATATTTTCTATTAATTATTTTCTTGACAAAGTGACAATTTCTCATCCAAGCATCTAACTACCGCCGATTAAGAATTGCATTTCTCACACAAAAGTGAAGGAGGGTGTCTACGTGACAACAAATTCGCCGAGTGAACGCACCCATCACAGCTCAAGCAAAGCCGAGCCGAATCCGATTTACAGTAAACCACCGCTCTTTCCCCTCAACAAAAATCGCATATAGGTTCCATCTCGTTCTCTTAACTTTTCCAATAAAAACTATTGCTCGTGGGTGGGAATCCTAGCGAAAACTACCCTTCATCATTGAAATTAACAAAAAAGAAAACCCATTAAAAATGTACCCAAATGACGTACATGGAAGGAATGAATTGAATCATTAGAATGCTTTAAGATCATAGGAAATGAAAAATGAGCTTAGGCTTTACCTCTTCAGTGAAAAGCACCAAATCCCAGCCTCCAGATAACCCCATAATTCATCGAGAGAAAGCAAACATTGTTTGAATTTTTAGCGAAACAATTCAGAATAGGCGAAGGAAAAGGTTAAAACAGTGAAAAGCTGTCAGCGTCGGTTACTGGAACTCAGTGAGCAAAATGGGTCTATTTATTACATTTGTTGTCCGAGGTTCGTTGGGGTGAGAGCGACGTGGTGCGATGTTAGTTTTGTGGATGTTGATACTCTAGGACGACGTGGACATATGATTTTATTGCGGTCATCCGGTTTGGTCGGGCTGTGGCTAGGATGGTAAATAAGTAGAAAGGTTGAGGGTGGTTTGTTGAAAAATTGGTCACAAATTGAGTACCACGTCGTAAACCGGGGTTTCTATTTGATCTCTTCGACGAGAATGTAGGCCCGTATCTCGAGATCACGTATTGATCTATCTCTAGTAGGGTTTTGATTTGTGGTGTATACACTACCTACGTACTTGCCTAAAATGTTAATTTATTTTTAGTGTCTAAATTTATTAATTTAAAAAAAAATTGTATTCAATTTTGATACTACTTTTTAGTTTGGTATATTTATAAATTGTTACTTTGAAATTTAAATTTTAAAATTGTTTCAACATGTTTTTGATAATTTTTTGATTAAATTTATTAATTTATGTTTAAGTTTTATATAGTATTAATAGGTTATATCTATAGTTAAAAAAATATAAAATATCTAGTGAGTTTAACAAGCAATGAGTCGAGTTCAGCAATAAGTTTTTTTAAAGAGCACATGTAGAACAAAATTTTAATGAGTTTAACGAGCTACGTGTTAAGTTGAGCAACAAATTCTTTTAAACGAGCATAAATCAAGTGAAACTTTAATGAGCTTAACGAACAATGAGTTAAATCAAATAACAAAATTATTTAAATTAGATCAAATCAAACACTATATAACTTTCGATCGACTCACTCAATAAGCATCTCCTACTCAAACTTGTGCCCCATTCATCGTGAGTGCCTTACTTAGCCACTAGGTTTAAGGTGCATCTAGATTTTGGAAAAACCCCAAGTATAAAAAGGGTTGTTGCCTTTCTACGGTTTGGTTTTTTCCTGCCCTGTTCCTCTCGCCTTTTTTTCCATAGTTTGCCAACGAGAGTAGTCGTCATTGTCTCTCAACTGTCGCCATTGTGTGTAATGTCAAGCAGAGGCAAAACTAAAAATTTATTATAGCGAAGCTAAAAATGTTTTTTATTTTTCATAAATAAATTTTTATTAATTGAGATTTTTTATAAAAATATTATATATTTTTTAATATTAATTAATACTTAAAAAATAATTTGCGGGGAAGGGTTCCACGCATGAATTGTCCATGTCATTTTTATGTTATGATGGTCAATCAAAGGTAAGAATCCAGAAAGTCTTACTCTGCTAGCATTCTCGTGCTTCATCGTTGTTGGGGTGGTCTTGTACTTTGAGTGGTATTTCATTTTGTTTGAGGCGTCGACATTAAGAGTCTTTGTAACACCTCTAACCTGGTCAAGACAAAAATCAGATGGAAGATACTAATGGAAAATACAAAGGCATAATGCAATAAAAGAACTCTAACGTTTGACAGTAGTATCAAACATACCTTTACTATTATTTTGATATATTTGTCCACTCAACGTTTAATTTTGGTTCAAAAATCATCCTCGATTGATAGAAACCGTCAGTCAACTGACGGTCCACGCCTGGTGCTGACCAAACATGTACACATGAACGTAGATGCCGGCGTGGTGTGTCCATGTCAGAGCTCATGATGACATGACATTGTCAAGTCTAAATTTTTAAAAATAAAATAAATAATTATTATGATTAATGTTATTTATATTTAATTATTTATAACCAATCAGAGAATGTCATATGTCACTCTTTGATTGATGTTTGTTTAAAGAAACCTTTAAAAGGAAAATAACTTGAAAGAGAAATCAAACATGGGTAACTGTTGTGGAGTAGCACGAGTTTTGCCACTTAACCAAGTTTATTACTTGATTAAATAATGTACTAAATGTTATTTAATATATATTTAACTTTACTTGATTAAATAATGTACTAAATGCTATTTAATAGATACTTAACTTGAATTTAATGAAAAAAATAAAACACATGTTTATAATCTCACTTATACTCTATTATTCCCAAAACTCCTCTCATAATTTGTTTTGGGAGTTCATATCCGAAATCAGTGAATCTTTTTCTTGGAAGGTGAAGGAACTCAGGTGGCGTTTAGTTCGATGGAATGTTTCTGGGAGA